AAAAAAATAAAATAAAATAAAATAAAATAAAAAAAGAGGAGGATAACATAAATTATGTGTATGCCCAGCGGTAGAATGCTTGCCTAGCAAGCTGGAAGCCCCGGGTTCGGTCCTCAGCACCAAAACCAAACAGACAAAAATAAATAAATAAATAAATAAAGTGTATACCATGAACAAATACATATGCTAATGTTGATGCCAGGCACCTGGTAAGTACTGTATTTGATTCACTGATATTATTATTTGTTATCCCTTATGTTATTTTATCTGCCCATACTTTCAAAGTTTACACAGCAGTGTGGGTTTTTTTTTTGTTTTTTTTTTTTGTTGTTGTTGTTGTTTTTGTTTTTAGTATTGGTGTTAGGGCAGCTAAGTTAGGTAGAAATATTCCAGGCAGTCAGCCAGGGCCAGAGCCTCAAGAAACTCAGTACAGAACCGAACACATCACAACTGTGGCTGGAGGTGCCTCTAAAGAAGATTAAAAGTCACAGAGGCCAGATTTACAAGCTTCCCTAAGGGATAAGTGGAAATTTGACATTTCTGAGATTTCCCATACAGATAGACTTTTATCTCATTATTATGGCTGGGCTGTCCTCTCTGACCCACTAAGACTAAAACTATACCTTCTCAACCAAGGTTAAAGATGTCAATCCTACGCCTTTGCTACTATTGGAGCAATACTAGCCAAGAGGCTATACTTGTAACCTTATTGATTGAGTATAGATGACTGAGATTTTTTGTTCTAAAAAACTTTCTCAGAGAAGTGGTCTCGTTGGCCACCTCCTATCTCTCGAGAGCTATTCCTATTCCCTGATACATTTTTCTATTCCTAACCTCCATTGTTCCTTAGAACTCATTCTTTAGCTTCCGGGCACATGAACTTGGCAGGCTGGGAGTTATACAACCCTGCCCCCATCATTGGAGTTGAACCCGGGCCTTTGGAATGAGCTATATCCCCAGTCCTTTATTTTAAATTTTGAAATCTGGTGTCACTAATGCCCTAAATTGCACAGGCTAGCCTTGAACCCGTTATCCGCCTGCCTCAGACTCCTAGTAGCGTGAAAAAAAAACAAAACAAAACAAAACAAAACAAAAAACAACCAAAAACCAAAAATCAAAAAACACAGGGGTAAATATACAGAACAAGATCCAATTCACTGCATAACAGAAAAATAATTTTACATGCCATACACCATACACAAAGATTAGACCTGTTCACTTCTCAGCTAAATCAGGTACAGATTAGAAATGAATTGTAGGGCTGGTGAGATGGCTCGGTGGTCTAAAGCACCTACTTAGAACAAACTAAGCCAAGCAAAGCACAGGGACAGCGGTTCAATCCCCCAGCACCACACGCCAGCCAGCCCCGCCCCCTGGTGGGCTGAGCTGGCCACACACACAAATAAAATTAAAAAAAGAAATGAATTGTAGATATTATGGTGAAAAGAAAACAATAAAGATAGTAGAAGAAAATACAGGCAATCTTCATAACCTTGAGACGGACGGACAAAGGCTTTATAATCAGACTCCTCCAAAATAGTATCTATTTAAAAAGCCAAGCATGGTTGCCTGTGCCTTCAATCCGGCACTAAGGAGGATGAGGCACAAAGATTGATGAGTTTAAGGCCAACTGGGGGGTACTTGGTAAGCTTAAGGCCAGCCTCATCTATAAAATAAAAGCCTGTTTTAAAAGACAATACTGAGGTGTTTTAAAAAGAAAAGGAATTAGAAAGAGAATGAAAGGTTAGGGGCCCAGGAGGTGGCTCAGTGGAATAAGCGCTTTGCTGGCAAGCACAAGGGCATGAGTTCAATCCCTGGTTTCGGGAAAAAAAAAAAAAAAGTTGAAATTGCAGGATGCCTGGAGGGTCACATGTCCACCTGGAAATATGAAGAGGCCCGGCTGTCTGCTCGCTGAAACCTACAGGGTCCCCGCCCCTGGGCTGTCCGGTCACAGCGGGCCTCCCTCGCTCACCTGGAAGACCTCGGCGCTGGTCTTCTCGTGGCGGCGCGCCAGCTCCTCCAGCTGCCCCTCCAGCCGGGCCACGTCGGCCCGCAGCGCGCCCACCACGCGTTCGTGCTCCGCGAGGGCCACGCTGCCCCCGCGCTCGCGCTCCAGCTCCGCCCGCAGCCGGGCGGCCTCCTTGCCCGTGGCTACCACCTCCTGCTCCAGACTGGCCGCGCGGCCCCGCAGCTCCAGGGCCTCCTCCTGCAGCCGGTGGTGCTCGGCCACGGGCACCGAGGCCTGGCGCAGCGCCTCCGAGGCCTCCCGCAGCTCCGCCAGGCCCCGCCGCGCCTCCTCGCACGCCGCGCCCAGCTCGGCGGCCCTGGCCTCGGACGCGTCCCGGGCCTGGCTCAGCTCCGCGGCCGCTGCCCGCTGCTGCTCCCCGGCGGCCGTGGCCGCGGCCAGCTGCTCGCGGAGCACCTCCAGCTCCCGGCTCTGCTCCAGCCGGGCCTCCTCCCGCCGGGCCAGCTCCGCCCGCAGGCCCCGGGCCTCCTCCTCCGCCAGGAGCCGGCCAGCCCGGGCCTCGTCCAGCCAGGCCACAGCTGCCTCCAGCTCGCGCAGGCGGGAGTCCCGCTCTCGGAGGTCCTCCCGGGCCTGCTCCAGGGCCGCCCGCAGCTGGACTGTGTCGCCGCTGCCACTGCCGCCCCCGCTGCCCCCACAGGCCCCAGCTCCCTCAGCTTCTCGCACCCGCTCCCGGAGCCTGCCTGCCTCAGCCTCTGCGGCCTCACACTTGCCCCGCACAGCCTCCAGCTCTGCAGCTGCCTCCCGCTCCCGCTGCCGGAGCACCTCCTCCAAGCTACGGATCCTGGTTTCCAGCTCGGACTGCAGCTTCTCAGAGGCCTCTGCAGCCCCAGGGTGCAGGATGGGCCCAGCAGGAACCCTTGGGGGCATGGCCTCCATGCCAGTGGCCTCCACATCAGTGGCCTTAGTTCCAGTGGCCTCCATGTTTGCAGTGAGCTCTGCTCCCCTGGTACCGGCTGTATTGGTCTTCATTTCTGGCTGCATCCTTGTGACCTCAGCTCCTGTGGCCTCTGATGCTGTGGCTGCACCTCCTGTGTTCTGAGGCTCCATATTTTGTCCTTCTCCGGCCTCTATTTCTATGGCCTCAGTCCCTTCGGCTTTGTCTCCCTCAGCCCCTGCTTCCGCACCTTCTGCTTCCGTGGCCTCAGGCTCTGTGACCTCATGTTCTTTGGATGTCGCTTCTGGGGTCTCGGCTCCTGAGGTTTCCCCTCTTGCCACACCCTCCTCTGTTCTCTCAGCTCCATTGATCTTCGTTTCTAGAATCATAGCACCATTCAGCTTTGTGTCTGGGGACCCATTTTGGGCTGCTGAGGTCCCCACATCTCTGTCCTCCTCGTGTCTGGGGACCTCCCGGGCCTCCTGCTGCTCTAGTGCTCTCAGGGCCTCAGCGTGCTGCCTCCGGAGCTGGTCAAACTCAGCCCGGAGGGAGTCGTAGAGGACCAGAGGGACAACCTCCGCCAAGCCATTCCCTGCCAGCTGGGTGTCATCCTTCTCAAAGTTCTCCAGGATCTGGGGATGGGAAAGTAACCAGGCAGGGGCTGAAGAGGCCCTTGGGGGCCTGGGCAGCCTGGACATCTTCCCCGCTCCCCCTAGGCCCCAGATCTGTTGGCAACCTCTGTGTCCCCACCTGGACCTTCTCCATCAGCTCCTGGTTCTGTCTAGTAAGTGTAGCGACTTGTTCCAGCAGCGAAGCCACGCACTCCTGGGCTGAGGGGCTGAGCTGCTTGGGCGGCTCGGCCCCTGGTGACGGGAGTGGGGCCCAGTTAGCCCTGGGGCTCCAGCCAGCATAGTGGGGACTCTGGAGCAGTGCCCCAGGACCCCCCAGGGCTGGCTTAGGCAGGTGGAGCAACTAAGGAGTGTGTGCAGACACTCTTCCGGTACCCCACGCCCTGCACACCCACGGCTCCACACTTTAATCCCGGGGCCCCAAGAGGTCAGTGGGGCTTCACCTGGAAAATCAGGTAGCTCACCCTCCTCGTCCTGCAGGGTGGCCACGTCGTAGCTGGTGTTCTCCCGCTCACTCTGGGGATGGGGAGAGTCCAGGTCAGGGTCCTGCCCACAACCTACCACACCCTTGTCCTCTGAGACTGCGTTTGTACTTATTGAGTAGCTACTATGTCCTGTCCCCATTATTTTTGCAGTGCTGGGGATGAGCTCAGGGCCTCTGTGTGACAGGCAGGTGCTCACATTGAGTGACTCTCTGAGCCCTGTGCGCCAATTTTTAGCTTTTTTTTTTTTTTTTTTTTGAGACAGTGTCTTTTGCTTGCTAAGTGCAAGAGCCTGAGTTCAATCCCTGGTTCCGAAAAACAAAAAACGAGAGAGAGACAGGATCTTGTTATGCAATGGAGGCTGACCTTGAACTCACTGTACAGCCCAGGTTGACCTCGAACTTATGGCCATCTTCCTGCCTCAGCCCTCCAAATGATGGGATCACAGGTGTGTGCCACCACACCCATGTCATTTTTTATATTTTTAAGCTATATAATTAGACAAATTCTTCTCTCTTTCTGTCTCTCTCTCTCTCTATATGCCTTTACACTACATCCCCAGCTTTTTATTTGTACTTATTTGCATATTATTTTATTTTTGAGGCAGCTTCTCACTAAGTTGTACAGGTTCTCCTCCTTCAGCCTCCCAATGTGCTGAGATGACAAGTGTGCGTACCTAAAACTCTTTTAACAGTGTGTTTGCTGTCCTACTATGTTTGTGTGTTTGCTTGTCCTTGAAGGATGCGTTTGAAGATGCATCCATCCTGGCTGTGTGTGTGTTTCCAGGTGTGCTACCTGTGTGACTGGGTTTGTGAGGATGCTCGGCATGTGTGTTTGCATATATGTTACCTGCCTGGTGCAGTTGTCAGGGATTGAAGCAGAAGCTCCACCCCCAGTTCTCCGTAGCAGATCTCACCCCCAACCCTGACTCCACCTACCAGTACTCTGCCCCGCTCTGTCCCCGCCCACTCTAACTTTGGCCCACCCACTAGGCTATGGCCCCGCCCGTGGCCCCACCCCCACTGACTCTAGCTCCACGCCTGGCCTCACCCACCATCCTTCTGACCCCGCCCCGGCTCCTCGCAGAAGCGGTGCTCTGGCACTGCCCTGGCTCCACTCACCCGGGTTTGGGCCCAGCCCTTATCTATGCCTCTGCCCCAGTATCTGCCCCGCCCGCAGGCTTTGGCCCACCTCCAGCAGCGACAGCCGGCTCTGCAAACTTTCCACCTCCCTTCCCAGGCTCTCCTTCTCCTCCTGCTTCTCAGCTAGCAGCTGCTGCAGCTCCTGCACCTGGGGGCAAAGACAGCTGGCTCAGGCTCCTGGGGAGAGCACCCGGCAGCCGCCTTGCTCCCCACCTTCTGGGCCTACCTGTCTCTCCAGGCTGTGCACGGAGCTGGCCTCTGCTTCCTGTGGCTGATGCAGATGGGAGCACAAGGTGAGACCCAGGCCAGAGCCTCTGGGCCTCTCCTGCTGAGGCGCCCCCACTCTGTCCACTCTGTCTGTGCACGCCGCCTGTACCATTCCGACCCACCATTACAAGGATTTATGGAGCGTCTGCTGTGTGCCAGACACTGCTCTGCTGGCTCAGGGCACCTATTTGGGGCCAGACTCGACCGTGGAACAGTGCATTCACAGCCTCCCTTGAACATTCATTCACTCATCAGGTATTTATCTCTAGCATGGGGCCCACTGGGCAAAAGTGGTCTGGAGGAGCTCAAGACTTCTGGAGGAGCAGCGTTCCAGAAGAGGGTGCGACCTGTGCAAAGGCCCGGGGGCAGCACAGAGCCTGGGTAGTGAGGAGGGCAGGACTGGTGGACTCTTTCCCTGGAGGCACACCCCACCCAGGCCTGGGCACCTGCCCCCTAACCTCATGCTTCCTTCGTTCTTTGTGCTGCTCCAGACCCCGGATCTTCTGCAGGAGGCGGCCTCTCTCCTGCCGCAGCCGCACGATCTCCTCGTAGGCCTCTCGATCGTCCTGTCCTCTCCCCAGTGGGGACCCACTGCCTTTAGAGGGGACCTGAGGCCGCCCCTCAGCATCTTATCCAGAGCTGCAACCCCACCAGGGCTCCCTACCAGTCCTCCCTGAGGCCCAGGCATCTCTCACCGACATAGGAAGGCTGGGAGGAGGCTGGGGCGCTTTCCGCTTCTTGGGACCCCCTCGCTTTTCATGGCTGGATACAGAGTTCTAAGGCACAGGGGGAAAGGAGCCACCTTGGCCTCCTGCCCAGTACGCCACCCAGCCAGCCCATTCCCTGCCCACAACCCAGCTCCACCATGGCTGCCCCTTGACTCTGGGGCAGCTCCCAGCCTCCCTCCTGTCCTCATTTATCCGGCTTCTAATTCAGCAGATATGAGACAGGCAGCAGTCCATCCTCTCCAAGTTCTAAATCTTCTATTTGTTTAGAGCCAGGTCTCACTATGTAAACCAGGCTAGCCTCAAAATAGCAGTGATCCTCCTGCCTCAGCCTCCCCAGTGTCAGGATCACAGGAGGGTACCACCACACCCTGCCCAAATTCTAAATCTTAGTCTTGCTCTCACCCTTCTGCAGGCCCTGGTGCTTTCCCTGGCCAGATCAGATTATCTATATGGGGCCTACCAGATAGCTTGGGCCGGCCAGGTAGCTCAGCAGACTACAGCACCTGCTTAGGCAGGTGCAGGGACTGGGATTTGATCCCCAGCGTGCTATTCTGGCCCCGCCTCCGGGACACCCTGAGGCGACTGAGACTAGGCATCGTGGAGTGCGCCTGTAATCCCAGTGCTTGGGAGACTGAAAACAGAAGCTTCACTACAAGTCTGATCTTGTAGTGAGGCTCTGTAGACCTTGTACTAAATACATTTAAAAAATTTTTTTCAATTAAAAAAAAAAAAAGTTTAGCTATACGTTTCTTCTCCCTGTGAAGCTGAGATGCGCTGCTGGAGAGAACAAGCCGGACTTGCACTTCTCCCCATACCGGTGCTCCCAGGCCATCATCCCTGCCTCTCTCCGGGCTCCCGCCGGCTTGAGGAATTACTGTTTGGGGCAGCGGAAGCCACTGGGTGGCAGCATAGCTGGACGCCAACCTTGCTTCCCACCGGGCCTGTGCCAGGCGCGACGGGGCAGGGCGCGCTCTCGGGAGTGCGCGCGCACGGGAAGGGGCCGCACCTGAGGACCCCTACCTGAGACGAAGCTTCGCCCGAGTCCTCTTCTACAGGCAGGAGAGAGAGGCAGGCAGGGTCAGGCGCTGGTGGCAGGGACTCCATTCCCAGCTCCGACCCGGATTCATGGGGGTGGGGGCTCTCAGGTGAGACTTGTAATGCAGGAATTCACCATTTTAGCAGAACACTTTAGGCAGGACCTTGAAACTCTCAGAGGTAGGAGAGGCATTTCCCAGAAGAGGTGCCACTTTTTAGGGCTGCCAAAGCCCCCAAACTAAGGAAGATCCAGGAAATCAGAGTGGATTCCCAGACCACTCTAAATGTTCTTGGGGCTTCTTGAAACTGCCGCAAATAGGGGTGCCATGAAACCGCTCCTAATACAGCGGATAGGGGGTATCTTGAGACTATCTCCAACCGGGGAAAAAAGGGGATGACGAGAAATTGCCCAGAAAGAAGTGTGGAGATGGGGCTTGCGTACCGCTAGGTGGGGAGGGGCGATGGGCCGCCTCCTGCAGGAGGTGGAGGACGAGTTTGTCCCCTGCCAGGGCTCCGTAGTGAGCGGCGTCCTGGCCCAGCGCATCCGTGATGCCGGGCTGGGCCCCGCCCTGCAGCAGCACCTCCACCGTTTCGGGGCTGGCGCCCTCACAGGCCAGCATCAGGGCTGTCCTGCCAGGAAATGGGGCTCCTGAGGGGCTGAGCACATTCCTGGACGCCCAGATCCTCAACAGCCAGGCAGGAGGAGGCCCGACTGAACCCCCACTCCCACCCCACCCCCTTCTCAGAGAGGTTTCGGGACTTGCCCAAGTCATACAGCCCAGGAAAGATGGCTTGACAGGGAAGAAGCTCACCTGCCCTGCAGGTCCTGGTCATTTGCAGGGGCCCCCTGCTGCAGGAGGAGGCGGCACAGCTCCGCGTGACACATCTGAGCAGCGAGGATGAGGGGCGTGGAGCCCGACTGGTGGGAAGCGGGTGCGCGGTGTGAGGAGCTGACTGGGAGGTCGGGCAGCCGAACCCCGAGCCTCACCCCAAACGCGCGCGCTCTGCAAAGGGGTCCCTCCGAATGTTGCCACTTGGTGACAGCGGGCCTCAAGAGTAGTCTCTGTCCCTCCAGAGATGCCAGAGGCTCACCCGATCTCGGGGGTTCAGATGTGCCTTGAAGGAGCACAGCAGCTCTGAACAGGAGAGACAGCCACCAGCCGCTGCAGGGAGGACGAGGAGGGAGGAGGTGTGGGCATGTCCTGCGGCCTGCACGCAGGCTGTGATTCTTTTTCTCACAGTACTAAGAACTGAACCCAGGACCTTCGCGCTTTTGTTTTGAGCCAGGGTCTCATTAAGTTGCCAGACTTGTTTTGAATTTACGATCGTCCTGCCTCAGCCTCCCAGAGTGCTGGGATTACAAGCGTGCCGCCAGGCAAGAAATTTTTCTTTCTTTTTGTTTCTTTTTCTGGTCTTTTTGAGACAGGGTCTCTCTAGGCAGTTCAGGCTGGCCTTGAGCTCACTTTGTAGCCCAGGCTGGTGTCGAATCACAAGGACTCTCCCGCCTCATCCTCCCAAGTGCTGGGATTACAGGCGTGCGCCACCACGCCCGGCATTAATTTTTCTTTCTTTTTCTTTTTTTTTTTTTTAGTGGTACCCCCTGGGGATCAAACTCCTTTGGGGTTGGTGCGGAGTTGCCAGAGTACGCAAAAGCATAGCCGCCAGTAGGTGGCAGCATACTCCAACTGCACGAGACCTGCGCCGCGGCAGGCCCCAAGCAAACTGACTTCTCTGTGTCTCCCTAAGAATAGTTGTGTTCTGAGTCCTCACCAAGCCCTGAACCTCTAGGGCTCAGGGCACTGAACCTGGACCAGGCGCTGGCCCAAGTGGTTGTGAGCTTCCCCTCCCTCGTGGGAGAGCAGACTCTGAAGCTTTGGGCTGGCCGGGATGCTCCAGGATTTCTCAAAGGTGTTCAGCTCTGGATGACCTGCAGCATTCTCTTAAAGCCCTCCAGGGACACCACGCTGTGCTCCTAGGTCAGGTGACCTGAGACCCCTCGCCATTTACTGTGGGAAGTGACACAGTGAGCCTCTGGTAGGGAGGTTCTAGAATTGAAGCTGAGTCCTGGAGCTTGCTAAAGAAAAAGGAATGCACCAGCGAGACAGCTCAGCAGCCTAAGCGCCTGCTTAGGCAAGCGCAGGGACCGGATTCGATCCCTGGCACCACATGCCACATCAGCCAGGCCCCTGAGCACACTAAGCCTGCTACCAAGATCAGGCATGGTGGCACATGCCTGTCCCAGCGCTGGGGACACTGCAAGAGGTGGATTACTACAAGTCTGAGCTGCGTAGCAAGATTCTGTACCAAACAAATATTAATTTTTTTTATTTATGTGTGTGTGTGTGTGTGTGTGTGTGTGTATGTGGCCAGCTCAGCCCACCAGGAGGCGGGGCTGGCTGGCATGTGGTGCTGGGGGATTGAACCACGGTCCCTTTGTTTTTGTTTTTTTGCGCCGAATGCCTTCAAGGCATGACTGGCTGTCTTGTGTTGTGGGGATCGAACCACAGCAACCTGAGCCTGACTGCTTTGTTGAAGCAGCCACTTAAAGAACTGAGCTAAGGGGCAGGCCCCCGGTCCCTTTGATTTTGCTAAGCTTGTTCTAAGTAGGTGCTTTAGACCACTGAGCCATCTCACCAGCCCCAAACAAATATTAAAAAAAAAAAAAAAAAAAAAAAAAAAAGGAAAAAGGAGTCAACAGGGCCATGTGCATTGGCGCCCGCCTGTTATCTCAGGAATTTGGGAGACTGAGGCAGGAGGATCACTTCGAGTTCAACCCTAGCCCATGGAATTCTGTGATGTTTTATTTTATTTTTTAGGACAGAGTCTCACTATGTAGTTCAGGCTAGCCTTGAATTCACCAAATAGCCTGGGCTGGAGTGCTGGGCTGACGGGCGTGTGCCACCATGCCTGGCACATAGTGACTTTTTTTTTTT